TCATCATCGTTAATATTTAAAAAAAAAAAATCATCCGGTCTCAAGGAAAGAATACAGTTGTAATAGTTATGTTACTAGGATTCATAGAATCGTCCGTTTCTCATTTAGAAAAGAGCAATAAAGATGTTATGGCCACACATAGTTCATTTTACTAAAACGAAGGTTCATTATTTGTACATAGATAAAATATACTTGGTGCGTAAATGAACGTGTAAGCCGGCATGTACAAAGAATATTTTTATTTGATCGATTTTGATTTGATCTACGACTTTACGTTTCAAATCCGCTCAAACGAAAACATCTTAAACAGAATGTGTTATACTTTAGTTAAGTAATCTCGCATTTGGATAAATCATGTAATTACGTATCAATTATCATAGTTTGTAATTAATACTGGGTAGTTTGTATGAACAGCTCAATTCCAACCAATCCCAAAATTTAGTAGACCGGTTTTAAAATTGGGCAACTCTAAATATCGTTACATGGTTTTCAAGCTATCATTACTCACCTTGAGACGCAAGCTCAAATTATAGGCTTCAGATTCATCGTCTTCTGCGGCTGATTTGTCTTCGGGGAGGGCGGATTCCGGCGAAGATCGCACCGTCGTCCAAGCAAAGTATGCGGCCAATGCTGCAGAGAGGAACACCAAGATGAACCTTAAAGGGCACATTCTACTTATACTTTAGGTCTTAACCCCCCAGTTTTTGATTTCTGAAGTTTTCTTCTCCTTATAAGTTAGAGGCTTTATGCTCTTCTTCTCAATATATTGGAGCCAATACTATATAATCAACGCGTTTCAATGGTCAAAGACAAAGACGCCTTTTTGACATTTTCCACATTGTGGTTTCGGTTTATGCACCAAGTCAAGCTGCAACGAAAGCAAATTCACCTAATCTTTGATTCGGTAAGAAATAAGAATGTACCAAGTCCTCTCTTTAAGCATGAAACTCAATCTTGTCTCACAGGGAGCGACTTTCTAAATGCTAGGATCAATATATTTCCCAATCCGTATTGAATTGTTATCTTTTAAATTATTTTTATTCGTTGTCTAAGTCAAGTCCTTAGTCCACTAGTAACTAGTTCAACTATCATTGATCAAGCAACGAGTTTTTCTCTCTCTTTTGCCCTTGATATATCAGCTCTCTTCATTCATACGGAGTATTAAATTGAATTATGATCTGTCCATCTGATATATATAGCCGGTTTCCTAATGTAATTCTTTGGATTATAAGACCATTTGTAGTAGTAGGGGATTGGGAGTCCAAAATGTTAAAGTTGGAAATTTTGGACTCCTAATTCAATTAGGATGTTTTCTTTTGGACTGTTTTCAATCCCAGACCAGACCAGATAAAACCAGATCAAACTTAAACAGACCAGACCAGACTTAAACAGACCATATCAGACCAGACTTGGAAAGTTATAAAATACACAGAGACCAGACATTTACCAGACCAGACCAAACCAGACTTAAACAGACCAGACCAGACCAGCAAATTTCAGTCCAAAAGAAAACATCCTTAGTGGTGGGTTAAATGGGGTTAAAAGTGAAAAAGGCGATGATGAAGATTCAAAATAGAGGGTGGATTGACAGGGAAAAAGAAAACGAAAATAAAAAGGAAAAAGGAGGAGGGGGTTGTTGATGGTTGCACAGGTTTTTAACTCATCCGGGTGACGTTGTGCTAATGACTGTGAATCTGTGATCATATTGACATTGTTTGCATGGAAAAAAAAATGATTCAAGGACTGAAATTGAAATTCAATGGTTGAAATAATTTATTTTATTTTTCCATTATTTTTAATTAATATTTTTCCATATATAAAATCTGTATAATTTTTTTATTTTTACATCAAAACATGAATTTTTTATTTCTTAATTATTCATGGAAAAATTTAAAAGATAACATTACTTATAATAATTTAATGTAAGTTTAACTAAGTTGATAAGTAAAAATTAAAAAAGTATGTCGAGTGTATTTTATTGACAATGCTGGGATGCAGGAAAAAAGTCTAACTAGTTTTGAAATGGATGGAGTGCATTTTTTACTTTTTAGCTCTCTTGTTCGCCTCATATGAATGTTCAGGTTTGATTTTTTAAGATTTGAACTGATCTGAGTTTTTATTATCTGATCTGACATAAATCTTTTTGATTTGGTAAGAAATTTAATCATCTGATCCGATCTGAATCTTTCTGGTCTGATCTCATCTCAACTTTTCTGATTTGAACCGAATAAAATAAAAATAAACAATAAACAATAAGAATAAGATGAACAAAACAACACCTAAGTCAATTTGTTATAGCAAAGTCTAACTTTTGATTTCAAGTGATGAATTATATAATTAAAAAAACTAAGTCTAAAGTTTATTTTTAGCTAAATCGATTAGAAGTTTATGAAGAACACTATTTAGACCTCTTTTGATAATCTATATTTTCAGCTTATAGGCCTTACAAAACAACATTTCCACCAAATCTGTAGTTTTTTACTTCACGCGCAGAATTGTTTAATAATCAAAATAAGTAAGATTGAAGTTAATTACTTTTATGACTAAGTTGACTAAAGTTATTGTAGCAGACCATTTTATCTATTTCATAATGTAACTTTTTCTTAACTTTATTAGTAGATATATTTTAAATATAACATCTTCATAATTCAACACATTCTGCCAAATTTTCATAAATTTCGGCAAATTCAGTTGATTCAATAAATTTGAGTGTTACAAGTTGTGCTTTTAATTTTTTGTTTAATACACTTTTTAGTTATTTTATTAATGAAAATATTTTGAATATAATTTTTCATAGTAAAGCAAATCCATCCAATTCACTTGTATAAGCTAGAGTAGTAGAATTTCAATTGATTTGATCAATTTTAGTGTTATCAAATAAGCTCATATATTTTTCATATAATATACTCCGTATAATGTACTACATATTGAGTATTTGGCGTGGAAATATACCATGACAAATCATAGGGTTATTAAACACATCATAGTTGTAGTATTCTAAACTAGTATCTCACTCGTGCATTACGCATGAAAAGTTTTGTGCAAATATCAAAAGAAGTTTTAACTAAGATAGTATTAATAACAAATTTATGAGTAGTGTCTAAGTTTCTTCATAATATAAAGAGAAGAACATTATGTGAAAAAGATCTTTCTTTGGGGAGTGACGAGGGATAAGAACACTAGCCGTCTCCCATCTTCTTTATTTCTTCTCCTCAACTTTCTTTCTCCTTCTAAATATGAAAAAAGATCTTCTTCGTCATAAATTTCAAGTTATTTTACGTGATTTCTTTCTCGCGATGTCTGAGGTTTGCATATTCTTCGTCGGTGAAATCGATCGGGTGTTGAAATTTTATTGTTGGTGGTTAGCAATGCTAGTCTTAGCTTGCTTGATATTTTTGGGAGGTTTACTTTAGACCTTGGCGATTCCGGGCCAATTATTCACCCTACTTCTGAACCACGGCAATGCTATGAGAGAAAGATAGGCTCGATTGAATCTTCTTTTTGGTGACTTGTCAAATCGATGATATTTGAATATGTCAATAGCTGATCAAACTGTGGATTCTAGTTGTTTCTTTAGGGTGGCTGGACAAACCAATTTTTTTATTATTTCTTTGTTGGTGGATGGTAAAATCGATATCAATGCCATTCTTCTTGTTGATAGAAGAGTCTACATACATCTTTACGGGATTAACAAATTGTTATGTTCCCTTGGAACTCTTCAATTCTATGTGTCAGCCCATTATAGCCTTAGTCTATGCGAGTTGCTTTTGTACTGATCATTTTTATTATTAATAAATAAGGGTTCTCCATTTAAAAAACAAATTTGGGAATAAAAAAAGTGATTTATTAATCTTTAGTGACTATACTTGCATTTTCCTCAAAATTAGATTGTATAGTAGTAAGGACATGTATACTTTTATAGTCACTATATATGAAGTAAAATTCGAACACAATTATAATGACTAAAATATACTAAGTCGCATTTTTGTCAACTACTAGGATTTTGATCACACTTTAGATATTATTTCATATTTTTGTCACTAAGTATGATAAGAACTTTAAAAAACATACTATGGGGTGTTTGCAATCAGCTGTTGGCTGATTAGTGATAGCGGATTCTGTTGGCTGTTTTGTTTAGCTGATAATGTTATCTGTTTATAAAACAGTGTTTGGTTAAACGACTGTTTACAATTGGCTGATAACTTGTTAAATTACTTTTACGAGCATAAATTAATTTGTTCCGTTTATTAATAACTACTTTGATAAATGTCTCACACATTTTCTAATATGATTAATACAACTACCTTATCCATTTTTATTTAATAAAAATAAAATTTTATTAACACAAGTAACAATTTGTTTCAACATTGTTTTTTAAACACAAATAACGATCTTTCAAAAAAAAACATTCGTTTTTTTGGCAGGACAATTAATATTCGTTTAATAAGTATGATTATCTTTTGACTAGTAAATGGAATAATAAGTAAAAAAAAATATACTACGAAAATCCCTGTACGTATTGACAGACGAAATAATAAATGGAATAATGACTTAATGAGTACTCCAGCCTTAGGATGTTTTCTTTTGGACTGTTTTCAGTCCCAGACCAGACCAGACCAGACTTAAACAGACCAGACCAGACCAGACCAGACTTAAACAGACCAGACCAGACCAGACCAGACTTAAACAGACCAGACCAGACCAGACCAGACTTCCGTAGTTATAAAATACACAGAGACCAGACGTTTACCAGACCAGACCAGACCAGTTCAGACCAGACCAGACCAGACCAGACTTAAACAGACCAGACCAGACCAGACCAGACTTAAACAGACCAGACCAGACCAGCAAATTTCAGTCCAAAAGAAAACATCCTTAAACGGCATCATGGGTTTGCTTCCTGTATTTTATTTGGTTGTGAAGTACTCGGTATGAAATACAAAGTTACGAGCATTGCGGAATGCGGACAAAATAGAGATTTACGATGAGTTGGTATAGAGCGGCTCATAGTGAGCACAAAAAGTCTGGGTTACACCTTGGGATACATCATATATAAACCTTCTTTTTTACTGCTTTCTTTACCCCTCTTCTCACACATCTCTCCCATCCCCATTCCTCGCGCACATTTCTTTCTCTCCCACATCCCTCTTTGTTCGTTCTCTTCTTCCCACCTTTCTCTCTGTTTTTTTATTTTTTTCTTTCCAGATATCATGGATGATTTTCTAGCATATTTGATGGTGGATGGAGAAGTGACCGGAAACGATGGAGGTTTGGAAGATACCCCTTACCTGCGACGGATGACGGACAACGGAAATGGAAGAAATGTGGAAGCTCTGAGCGTCGAAAATGGCGGAGCTGTGAGCGAAGAAGATGGGAGTTGCGATGGAGGACAGAAATGGTGGAGCTGTGAATGAGGAAGATGGTGGTCCGAACAACCCTAGGGACAAAGACTTAGGTGGGACGAGTGGCAGATCTGTGACACAAGGCGTCAACGAAGTTCCGATATTTGACGGCCGAGATGATTACAGCTGCGACGAGGAAGAGAATAACAGGGAGAACATGAACACAGATGTTGGAGGTATTTTCTTTGACATACAGACAACTTGCATACTCAGTGTTGGTGTGTACCGACAACTAATGTCGTTGTGCACAGAGTAATGTCGGTATGTATAGACAACTGAAGAATTCCTCATTGAGTTGATGCATACCTACAAAGATGAATGTGGTATCTATGAATTGAATGAGTTAATCAGTAGTGTTCAATTTACCCTTATTCAGATTTTCTAAGTGGAAAACTTATAGAGGAGTTATTTTTAATGAGTACATTGACAATTATAAAGTGTTCAAAGTTTGATTCAGTTTAAAGTCATTCTAAACAGATAATACAAACAGATAGAATATATATTTCCTTAATCTCCTAGCCATATCTAAAAGTTACCGATTGGAAGTTACTAAAGGTGTATTCAACCCGAAAGTGATCGTTTTTCTTTCCCTTTGTTTATAGAGAGTAGATGCAATACTTATTTTAGAGGGATGTGGTGACAGAGGTGTGGAGAGAAAAATACTTTATGCTAAGTATGAAAAAAAATTCATATGGGTGTGCTTAAAATGTATGTAACTTTCAAGAGTGACGAGGTCATGGAAAGCTATAATTTCTCGTTTCTATTTTGTTTGATGTTTGTGAAGAAAGGTATCTTTATGCCAATGTATTTCTTCGTAGCACAAAAGTATATGTTAGGCAGTGAGTAATGGAAAAGAAAGGTGTATTTGATTTATATGTGCGATGATTTATATGTGCGAGAGTATGAATTTTGGTTCCTAAGTCTAGCTAGTTGGCTAACTATTATTGGTTTCATGACTTGATAACAATATATAACTTGGTCCGTCAACCCTTAGTTCACCGAGAAAACATTATCTTGTAAAGGTAGGCGCTTTGTTTGAGATGTGATCGCTGAGTGCTTCAACCCATCAAAATTGATTTCAGAATTCCTTTCTTTTGGCTGGTAAGTTCTGTATTTGTGATTAATAAAGGAACCCTATTAAAAGGGGAAACAAGTCAAGTATTTTTGTTTGGAGAGTTTTTAAAATACTACTACATGCATACTATGTTGTAACAGCCATTCAATGTCTATATTTTAATTTCAATTGTTCTTCCCCACAATGTAAATAAGCATCTTAAGTGTTCCATAATTTTGATTCCATTTTTAAAATGGGTGGTAGAAGCTACCGTTTCCAAAGCACAGTGAGAAATTCAAGGACGCTTTGAAGGTAAATAAGAACTCTTTATTTGCTTTATTTTCTAGTACCCTTTAAATATTTACTCATGATTCAAGACATGTGTGTTTTTATTTGACCATGTTATGACCTTAATCTATAGTCTGATAGTGGTTGCCAAGGTTAAGCATGAAAGTTATGAAATGGAAAGATTACTACTTTTCATTGTGATTTTTGTCTTATACTAAGTTCTTGTTTTGCATATATGCCATAAATTCAACTTCTAGTAATTTTGGAGTCTTAGTTTGTTTTTCCAATAATCTAAAATAAATTTCATTAGTAATATAATTGTACGTATCTTAGTTAGAATTGATAAAGTCATTTGTGTTTCTGCATGTTCGTAAGTGTCTGTGAAACAACATGTAATTGTCTGTGTACACCAACATTAATGTATGTACGCTTCTTATTGTTAACTCTGTCGACACTGGTTGTGGTTGCAGCACTAGAGAGTGTGGAGTCATGGTCATGGCGTTTGCGGAGAATTTGTTGTTGCAATTACCATTAAAATCAGGTTGTGACTACGCCAACATGTGGAACATTAGATGTCAATTTGCTATACCACTTTGGCGTCTGAAGAAGAAACTGGTTGACATTTAGCTCCTTTTTCACTTGTAAATAAGTTGGAGATGAAGTGGGGTAGCGAATGTTGAAGTTTTAGATTTGGATTTGAACATGACATTAAGTTTGTTGTGATGTAATTTAATGTGTCTTCAATTTTTATACTTGTGTGATTAAAGACAACTTATATTACTACTCGTGAACTTGGATCGCAAGTCCCTAGCGCAAATGTATGAATTTTATATTTAAATTTGAATATGACATTGGGTTTGATGTAATGTAAGGATCATTGTTTATGCATTTTGATACTGTTATAGGTGACAGACTTGTTATAACTACACATTAAGTACTTATACAGACACTATTGTCGGTGCACACAGACAAAAATAACAACACACGTATTATTGTCGGTGCACACAGACAATAATAGGAATAAGACACAAGTATTATTGCAGTGCACTTAGGATGTTTTCTTTTGGACTGTTTTCAGTCCCAGACCAGACCAGACCAGACTTAAACAGACCAGACCAGACCAGACCAGACTTAAACAGACCAGACCAGACCAGACCAGACTTAAACAGACCAGACCAGACCAGACCAGACTTCCGTAGTTATAAAATACACAGAGACCAGACGTTTACCAGACCAGACCAGACCAGTTCAGACCAGACCAGACCAGACCAGACTTAAACAGACCAGACCAGACCAGACCAGACTTAAACAGACCAGACCAGACCAGACCAGCAAATTTCAGTCCAAAAGAAAATATCCTTAAACAATAATTACAACAACACAAGTATTATTGTCGGTGCACACAGACAATAATAACAACAATACACATATTACTATCGGCGCAGACAGACATTAATAATAAACACACCTATTATTGTCGATGGACATAGACACATTCCATTAACATACAATATGTTACCACAAACACATTCCATTACATAAACTTACAAGTGTTTATACAAATAGAGGAAATGTTTACAAAATACAGATGCATTAAAGTTTGACATTCAAGTTACAACCTTGTACAAAACTTAATGTCATGTTGAGGGATATCGTTTTGGGCATGTTGAAAATGATCAGAAGCATTGGCTAGAGGAGCGAAGTAATTTTGGCCCTGTTGATTAAGTTCATGGTGTAACTCTGCAACTTTCTGTAATCTTAAATAACACCTCACAAACACCTACTACTCAAAGAGTCGAACCCTAAGGTCACAAAACACCGCAATTGGAAGACACATACAACCAATTTCAAAACACAACAAACTGACATTGAAGAAAATATCATTATATTCAAGTCAAATATAAAAGGTAAAACAAAAAAAATCAAGATTTATCTGAAGTACGTACCGTTCGGCCATTTCAGAGAGGCTGGTTCGCACCATGTTTGCCGCTCTGGATTTCGGAGAGGCAAGCTCCCACAGTGTTTGAAGACGGACCGAGGATAGAGATGGAGGCCGGTCGTCGTTCCTTGTACTTGGAGAATCGACCGATGACAAAGATGGAGGTCGGTCGTGGGTTTGTGAGGTGAGGGAAACACAGAGGAGTGGGATATTGGCCGGAGCTGTTGTTGTGCGAAGTGAGGAAGGCGGAGCGGGAACGGCGAGGGATGCGGGAAAGAGGCGTTCGGTTTCCGAAGTGGGTAGAGGCGTTTTTTTAGCTCAAGACACATGTGCGTGTGTGTGAAAGGTGTGGGAGGATGGGGTAAAAAAAACAAGCCTTATATATGGTGTACCCCTGGGTGTAACCCAGGGTGTACACCAAGACTTTTTGTAGTGAGCATCCTACTCCCAGGCCTTCTTTTTAATTTATTTTATTTTAGCATCAAACAGATGTAACTCATGTTTAAAGTAATGTAACTCACATTGATAAGAAATGTAACTTGAGTCAAGTTGAAATGTAAGTTATCTAAATCCGAATGTAAGAAGCAAAACATTGATTTCAAGGTAAATAATGAAAAAAGAGTCTAATAGCTCTATTATTTTACATAAGTAGTGTATATGTTATGTTTTTTTAATATCAGGACCATTGAAAACGATTTAAAAAAAAACTTTTCAAATAACTTTCTGGGACAAGTTCAAATGTAACTCGCGAGTATGAAAATGTAACTTAAGGCAAAACGAAATGTAAATCACGTGATTGAAAATGTAAATTCTCATATCTAAATTCAAGTTTTCTAATATGACGACATATATATATATATATATATATATATATATATATATAGGAAATCTTTCCGGTAAGGTATACCTTACCGGAGCCGCCGTGCGGCCTCCACGTTTTGAGGGCCTTCCCTGTGGAATTTTTCGATGAAATTTTTTGAACATGTTCGTCATCAAGTCTAGTACATCCATACCAAATTTCAGCAAAAAATTCAATCGGGAAGGCAGCCAAATGATTTTTGGAAGATAACTGCGTTTTATATGTATATAAAGGGTGCAGTTATCTTCCAAAAATCATTTGACTGCCTTCCCGATTGAATTTTTTGCTGAAATTTGGTATGAATGTACTAGACTTGATGAAGAACATGCTCAAAAAATTTCATCGAAAAATTCCACCGGGAAGGCCCTCAAAACGTGGAGGCCGCACGGAGGCTCCGGTAAGGTATACCTTACCGGAAGAGTTCCCATATATATATATATATATATATATATATATATATGAGTCCTGATCCTGTCCAGACGTCCGGACAGGAACCGCCGTCCGGCCGGCGGCGTTTGGCCGCCTTCCCGGTGGAATTTTTTGATGAAATTTTTATGGCATGTTCTCCATCAAGTCTAGTTTATCCACAAAAAAATTCAGCCAAAAACTCAATCGGGAAGGTCGTCAAATGATTTTTGCAAGTTAACTGGTCCGGAAAATACATATTCCGGACCAGTTAACTTGCAAAAATCATTCGACGACCTTCCCGATTGAGTTTTTGGCTGAATTTTTTTGTGGATAAACTAGACTTGATGGAGAACATGCCATAAAAATTTCATCAAAAAATTCCACCGGGAAGGCGGCCAAACGCCGCCGGCCGGACGGCGGTTCCTGTCCGGACGTCTGGACAGGATCATTTGTGTATATATATATATATATATATATATATACATACATATGTGTGTGTTTATATTGAAAATGGAGCTGGGCTTAATTGAATGATCCTGAAGTGCAATCTCTTCCCCTGCACTGATTCTTTCCACAAGATCGAAGAAAAAGCAGAGATAAGCATAGACTTGTTTTTACAAGCTCGAACACATGCATAGGGCTTCTTCAATTTATTGTGGGGAGATAAAAAGCTTTCTCTTCCAGTACCGAGAGGTCTCAATTCCGGATTCAAAGAAGCAAACAGAGGAAAAATCATTTGGATTGGTAGGAGACTACTCTGCACGAATCAGGATTAACAGGGGCTTTTCACGCTTTCCATGGCTCCAAATAGAATCTGCGAGGGGAGGGATGAACGCCTTGCTTGACAATTGGGAAAGAAGATGACGACTATTTTTAATTAAACGGCGCAGTTTAGGGATCGGCACACCGTGCACACGGTGGGCCGGTCCCACGGTATAATTTGCGATTTACGATATAAATTCAAATACCTCTATTAGCTGTTTATCTGGTCAAAAAGCCAAATAGTGATCAAATCAGCCAAAAAATGGCTGATAGGCCATTAACCAAACACCCCTACAAAAAACAGTGTATTATATTATTACTATTATTTTATTTTATTACTATAAATGTCAATGCCGTAAAGCCGGTAAAGGTGCTATAAGCCATCAAAAGAGTATAAAAAGGAAAGAATTGTACAAACAATGAAACGATTGTGATTAAAAATTTAGAAATCTTAAATTTCAGTAGCTTAAAGAATTTTATATTTGTATATAAGAGGCCATTTAAGGACTGAAGGAGCCTAGTAAAAATTGATGCTCTTCTTCACAAACCCAATCAATTCATTTCGCTTGATCGTCAAACCAAGTCGAGGTGTTCTCAAATGAAATTGATTCATCTTCCTCCTCAAATACTTCATACTTCATACTTCATAGTTCATACTTCCTGGTCACAGTATTCGTTTAGCATTTTATTTTCGATTTCAGACCAGTTATCTCTTATCAGAATCATATATATGATCATATTATGTCGTAATCATTCCAAAAATTGCAAACATCTATAGCTTATGTATCTTCATTGTCATTAGTGCATGCCTAGTAGGCCTAGCAGGGCCGGTCCTGTCTATTTTCGGGCCTATGAGCGAGATATTATTTTGGGCTTATATTCAAGACAAATAATAAACTATATTTATTTAAAATAATAATTATAATAATATTATCTAATAAAGGTCATTAAATAAAAATAAAACTCATTTTATTATTATTATTTAAATTACATATTTGGTGAAAAGATACAACACTAGTACATCACATAAAAAGGAAAACATTGTTGGGGTAAATCACGTAGGGGGTGATAATTCGAGTACTTGGATATCTTAAGGATCGTGTAAGTTCACTTTCCGAATTGATATTTCTCCCCTATGCCTGGGTTACAAGAAATTCAATCTAGGATAATCCTTAAGGACACTCTAGAACTTAGGCACAAGAACTAGAGCCAAACTAGTGAGTATATGGATTGTTATCTTTAATTTGAGTGCCAAAGTGATGAAGATATGTTGGATATGTTTTCTCCTCCTCCTCTGTACGAAATATGGTGGTATCTATCCATATTCATCGTCCTAGGCAGTAGTAACACGATTAAGAATAACCGCAGCAGTTTTTGGGAAACTGCTGGAAACTGCCTAACCGTTCTAGAACTCGGTCTAGAACCACAGAGCTGGTCTACTGAAAGTTATACCTCGAGTTCTACCTCAAGTTCCACTAACGTAGACACTTTGGAACTAAACTAGTTCTTATATACAAGTGTGCACTCCACACCTACTAACTTGTATTAGATCATAGTTCTAATTCCCATTGGCACTCATGTCATTTCCAATTACACAAAATGGCCGGTGACACTAAAATCATCAACAATCCTCCCCCATTTTAGTGTAACCCATGAAATGACATAACAAAGCTTACAAACCAAAACTTGCACATAAATGGAAATGTCGATACGATTGAATTTCCATCTTAG